CTGTCAGAATAAGATGCGTACAACAGACGAAACGTCATGAATATGACAATAAAGGCATAGGCTTCTTTACGGTATAAATTAAATTGATAGGACCATGTCATGGTTGACAATGGGTGCAAAAGCTATTTGCTGCTAGTGAGAAAGGTGGGCTTAGAAAATCTGATACTCACAGGACATATCAAACAAATGCGGAGATTTAAATATATGGGAAGTGGTTTAACAGAGGACGGAAAGAGCAACACTTAAATCGAAAGTCATATTGGGATATCTAATTGTTGTGGTAGGATCCACCTAATTTGCATAGTGGAGTACCGACCATATAAATATGGTTGGTACCGGGAAGAGAGGGAGGAATCAAGAGATTCAATCCAGAGACTCTGCCCGACTACGACTCAGTCAACACATTCTCCAGGAACGGTCTTACCAGGAATATACAAAAGACTATATGTAAATATTGTGTTCACTTTCTTGTTTCAATACATCTTGTTCTAAGTACATTTTGTGCTAATTTTTTTTCCATGCATTAGTCAAGTTTCAACACTAATGTAACTGTCTAAAAGCTAAGCAGATTAATAAGAAATAGGAAAATTTAGCTAGAAACAAGGAAAAGAGAATTAAATTGCGACGTGATATCTGGACGATTGTCTGAAAGATAAAGAAGAGACTTGAATCAACAGAAATGTGGTTCTACAGAAGGATGCTGGGGATACCTTGGACCGAACATGTGAATAACGACAAAGTTTTAGAGAAAATAGAAAAAAAAGTTTAAAAAAAAAAAGCCAGAAGAAAGGACTAAACATCAAATGCAAGAAGAAAGAATTTATGGTTGTTAGCAGAAGGTAAATTACAAATTGGGGATACCAAAATCAAACATGTACAACAATCTAAATACATGGGAATTGTTTTAAAAGAGGACGAAATCGCAATAGGATAGCGAAAAAGGCCTTCCAAAAGCTAAGCAAAGTATTAACAAACAGAATAAATTCGTTAGAAACAAAGAAAATGGCGCTTAACTTTTATCAATGATCCTATATGGCAAAGAATACTGGAGAATCTCACCAAGAAGGGACTTGGAGTAATAGAAATGTTGTTCTACAGAAGGATGCTGAGGATACCATGGGCCGACCATGTGAACAAAGGCGAGGTTTTAGAGAAAATGAAGACAAAAAGGAAACTTATAGTTAATATCAGAAAGAGGCAGTTTATATTTCTGTAACACCTAATGAGGAAAGGGGGCTTGGAAAATCTGATACTCACAGGACAGATTGAAGGAAAGAGAGACAGAGGAAAACAGCGCATAAAATATTTGAAGAGCTAGAGCAAATGGATTGTAGAACAGGTTTTTGGAGAAATAGCAAAAAGATAAAATTTATTAAGAGCTAGAATGGACAGGAAGATGTGGAGGCCCGTGATCGCCTACGTCCAGAAGGGGCATTGCACATAAAACAAGAAATCTTTGTGGATGACAAATAATTTTACTCTTTACAGGCCATTTCTCATAGACGAAACTTCGCATGTCTGAACTGTTACGAGATATCTGTCCACTTGTATGGCATTGAATGCTCGTCAATGAGAAAGAAGAAACTTGAAGCAAGAGAAATGTAGTTCTACAGAACGATGCTGAGGATACCATGTGCCGAGCATGTGAGAAATAGCAAAAAGACAAAATTTATTAAAAGCTAGAATGGACAAGCAGATATGGAGGCCCGTGATCGCTTACGTCCTGAAGGGCATTGCACATAAAACAAAAAATCTTTGTGGATGACAAATACTTTTTCTCTTTACAGGCCATTTCTCACAGACGAAACTTCGCGTGTCTGAAATATTACGTGATATCTGTCTCGCTGTATGGCAGTGCGTGCTCGTCAATGAGGAAGAAGAAACTTGAAGCAAGAGAAATGTGGTTCTACAGAACGATGCTGAGGATACCATGGGACGAGCATATGAGCAATGGCGAGGTTCTAGCGAAAATGAAGACAAAAAGAAAACATACTTAACATTAGAAAGAGGCAGTTGAAATTTCTGGGGTACGTGATGAGGAAGGAGGGCTTGGAAAATCTGATACTCACAGGACAGATTGAAGGCAAGGCAGACAGAGGAAAACAGCGTATATTCTTGATGAGCTGAAGTAAATGAATTGCAAAGCAGGGTGGAGGAGAAATAACGAAAAGACAAACTTTATTAAGAGCTACGAAAGACGGGGCATTCTGTGGAGAGCCATGATCGCCTACGTCCTAAAGAAAAAGGAGCAAAAAAACCTGGAGAACCTTTGTTGATTTCAATATGGCTGATGCTAACACCCAGGATCGGAACTTTTTATAATGATATCTCGTGAAATGATTTTGGGATGTGATTCGATCTCTCTTATCAAATCGCCTAATGAAATTTGACTTGAACAGTGTTCTTAAAGGATCTTTTGTGTTTCCCATCAGTATGGCTGATGCTAACCTCCAGGAGAACAATTAAGTGCGCCTTCTTTGTTTCACAGTGTCATAAAGTGCAAGGTTTATAGTGCATCAACTATAAGTCTGCTGCTATATATTTAGAGATCCTTAATAAAATAAAAAAAAAATGTGCAATGTTATTGGTCCTAACCTGGCATCTCTACTTCAGTTACTCCTCACCGTCGTAACGTAGCCTCCCTGCGCATTTTTTTTATAATTATTTTCATGGTAATTATTTTAAATAACCTTCCTCTCTGGTACTTTGACCATAAGAATTTAAGCGCATACTGGATTGGCGGTAAGGTCCCATCATTTTACAGTTGAAATGGCTAGAGGTTACCGTAAGTTCTTCTATTTAACTTCTCGCATGTACAATTCTCTTCGGGGTTTTTGCTTCCAAGTCAACTTTGATCTTCAAAAATTTAAATGCAATGTCAATCATTATCTTCTGTTTTCTTAATTCTTGTTCTTTTGTTCTTCTCTCTCCTTAATAGTAGTTTTTCTCATATTCTCTAACATTCAGTAACCTCTTGCATCCTAGTGGCTTTCTTGCCTTTCATTTTCGAAACTTTGAATGCAATGTCAATCATTATCTTCTATCTTCTTTATTCTGGTTCTTTTATTGTCCTCTCACCTTAATATCATCTTTTTTTATGCTCAGTGACCCATTTGCATCCTAGTGGCTTTATTGCCTTGATGAGAGTGAAATGATTTTTAAAAAATATTTCGTCTTTGTAAAATTTTACAAGTCTCTCCTCCACATCCCCGAAATCGAATTATCTCGCCTCCTCCATCAACCCACGACTATCTCTCCCTGTCTTCTTAAACTCTGTAATTATAATTTAATAGCGCCATTTCTTTATTTCATTAAACTAATTCCATCGTTTTTTCCCACCTTCTTTTCTTTTTCGAATGTATATATATATATATATATAGAGTCATTTAAAAAAAAAACAATGCACAAAGACTCAATGGTTGTTCAACATAATAAAACTGTGCACAATTTTGACATAGGGAAAGCTATTTTGATTAAAAGAGAAAACAATCCACTGAGACAAAAATGTCTGAAAAATGCCTTGATCGCAACTTCACACACGGTAAAATTGCGCCCAGGTTCTTACAATATATCACCATTCTTGGTAGATTTTCTGTTGTCACAATGTGGGATAGTCAAAGACAAAAGTGATGGAGAGAAAAGAGAAAAAGAATACACATGAATTTGGCCAGATTTTAAAAATATTTTTTTTTAATTATTTGAAAACTTTTGAAACTATCAGCGTCTCTTCTTTCGTGCGCATGCGTAGACGTGGCAACATCAATAAATCCCAATCCGATGAAATCTTAACGGATGAAACGCGTCACAAAAATTTCCAATTTGTCATTCTATTTTTCTGAACACAGTTG